TTGCACTTTGGAACTTCCTACTTTTAATAATCTATATCTATATGATGATGATGACAAGCACATATTCATAATTACAGTCACAGAAACAGTTGGGCAAAACTATTACACAATTGTCTTTTCATTCAGTTGTTAAAAGCACACATATTCCAGAGCAAGAGTTCATACAAGTATCTACTGTCCAACTCCTTTGGAGGAACTGCTTCACTATTGAGTACTGACTAAGCTACAGTCATGTTCTACTTCGTAAAGTTAGCAAACAACATAGAGGCAAAATAGGAACCTCAGAGATGAGCATGCATTAGAAACATCATAAGTGTATATTTATTGCATCACTGCTAACTATTCTCTAAAAAATGGGTTTTAGAGGTGGCACCTTACCTGCCCGAGAAATAAGTCACGCACATATACACCCATTGTGGTCATTTGGCCACTGGATCCAGGAGAGAATTCCTGAAATAAATAGTTAATAATCAGAATGAGCCCCTCTGACCATGAGTAAGCGAACAAACAAAAGACATAACGGTTCAGTTTTCTTAGATGCAGCTAAAACTACTGAAAAGGCTCCCACTGCTTCAAAACCCCAGTTCACAGAAAAAGAAGGAATAGAAGACGGAAGCTGCAGAAAAATAAAGAGCAAAAGGTAATATATCAGAAGTATACCACCATACAAATATGAAAATCAGTTCACCTGCAAAAAAAATCATGTCCATGCACCTTCAAGCAAGAGTGGTCCTTGCATCCTAAGGCATAAGGAGTGAGAATCATAGCATAAAGTATGCACAGATCATGTAATACTTACGGCACACATGTTACCAATTTCGAAAAAAAAATGTAATACTTATGGCACACAATCAAGATCAATATCTCAGAAGCAGAGCTGAGACCGACATGGTTCTATGCATACTTGTAACCTGTTTGGCCAAGCTTCTGGGAAGCCAAAAGTGCTTATTTTAGAAATTTAAAGTGTTTGTCTAAGCTTCTAGGGATAAAAAGTGCTTTTGAGTAGTGGCAGAAGCTGTTTTTTAAAAGCTAAAAAAGTGGCTTTCTCCAAAAGTACTTCTGGAACATTGGCCAAGCACAAAGTACAGCTATAATATTGGCAAAAGTGCTTTCAAAATCGATTAGCCAAACACAAAATGCTACTCTTCAAAAGTACTTTTCTGAGAGATTCTTCTGACAATAGCACTTTTCAAAATAAGCAGATTCAGGAAGCTTTGGTCAAACAGGCTATAAAAAAGAGAAAGAAAGACAATTCTACCACTGAAGCTATTGGAAAGTGAGTTCTTGCAGTAGAAACAGTTAAGTGGTGATTCAAAGGAGACCATTAAGATTTTTTTAAAAAGAACTGATTTAAAACAGATCAGCTAGTTTAAAAAGAATGAAAACAGAGAGGAAAACATTATCATTTCAGGAGGGCCAGGATATTAATTATAGAGGCAATGCTTTGAGCAGATTGACAAGACAAGAGAACAGTAACAAATGATTTCACCTCTCCTTAAAAAGTTATATTCCACAAAATTGATGAAAATAGTCAAAGTTGCAAACAAATCTATTGGAAATGATCAGAATTGACAGATACGTCGTTTGTATGCAAAATGCCAGAATCCTAACAGAATGCACCAATGCATCATCTGAATCCAGAAAAAACAATAGAATGATCTAGTTGAGGTAGAGCATGTCATTTTTACCTCATCATCTTTGAGGTAAGGCTCATACCAACCCCATAATGTCTTAAAATCACCAAGATATCTCAGATAAAGGAATCCAATCTGCAAAAGAATAATAAAATCATTGAATCCATAGCAAGAGGCTCAAGAATGTAAGTACAACAATGTAAAAAAACAAAAGCCCATGAATTTGAGGAAGAAGGGACACGGTCTGATTGGGAATGCAACTGAATTCTTTATTCATACATGTGCTATTTTAAATGGATCATGAAAGAAACTGCTGCACATTAGATGGAATTCCAAAAGTCTTATTTGATTCATTACTTGGTAAAACAGTGAAGGTGATGACAAGAAAGTAGAGGAGTTGGTTCCAGTTTGCTTAAAATCTAGCATCAGCAAGAACAAAAGGTAATTGTGTTAGCTTTCTGCAGCATTTAGCAGAGAAGAATAGAGAGAGGAAAAAGTATGGCATAACATAGCTGGTAAAGAGAAGACTGAGCTCGGTACGCCTCATTACTCAATATCACCATACGGATGAAGTGGGTCAATTCTCTCTAAAAACTTTCTTACAACATAAATTGTAACTTCTGATTGTCTATCAACAATTATTGGACGAGTAGAAGTAATATTTTATTTTCCCTTCTGCTTTTGGAAACACATGACACACTCCATGGATGACTTCCACTCCTTTACTTCCAAATAGAAACCTTTTAATAGAAAATACTGTTGGAGGTGGTTAAAGCTGTGGGTTAGGGTTCTCACTATCCAACTCCATTTATCACTTTTGACTCTATTATGGCACCTCTAACACAAAAGCATCACAAATTGGACCAACTTCCAAGCCAACCAACAGCACCGGAAACTCTCAACTTTCATTAAGGGTCCTTAGGTCTTTACCAATCAAAACTTAAAAATGAACAAAGGTTTTTAAGGGGAGAATATGCGCACGACTAGTCTACTACTAACAAGGCATGATCATCAGCTGAAAATAAAATCATCCCCTAAATATCTATACAAAATTCCAAGGGAATCACAGCCAGTATATAGCGGGAAAAAAACAATTCACAGCTAAGAAAACAACAAATCTAATAGAAAAAGGGTAAGATATAGAACACCACTTACAGCTCTAATGTAAGGAGAATCTGGATGCTTTAACAGGCCATGCATTTGCTTGACAGTAAGTTTCATTGTAAAGAACTTGTAGAGAAGGCAGAAGGCTGTTGAAGGACCACGACAGTTGCCAGTCATCCATGGTTCCACATGATCAACTTGATTATAGATTTCATCAATCACTTCATGATAAGTTTTCAGGCGCAATAGGTCTCTGAAGTAATCAGAAGATAGAATGTTCATGCAGAGAACCTTCTCCAACAATTGGTCAATAGGTCTCCCAGAAGTCTTAAGCTCAGCCATGCCCTTAGTGATGTGGACACCAGAGTGTTATCTTTTCCTCCCTTGTGTAGCCAACAATAGAAATGATATTGGAAAAGGTTTAGGTTCAGATTCTGAATTACCTGTCACAAGAAAAAGTGAATACATTATAACCATAACAGCATTGATTGAATTGAAACAGCAACAACAGTGTGATCCCACAAAGTGGATCTGAATTGATTAAATTAAAACTTGTAAGAAATGTTCACTGATATAACCAAGTTTGAGCTAAGACAACCATCCCATGTCTGAACAGCTAAATGATCATTATTGCTTGGCACATTCATACAACCAATCAACTAAGCATCAATCCAACTTAACTGTGATCGGCTATATGAATCGTCTTTATTCATTCAGCTCTATTTAGGTCCAGTTCATCTCAATAGTAAAACAATAATCTTTCAAGGCAAATAGTTAGTTAACTAAAAGGCCTCTAAAACCAACACTTACAAACATGCAACTATAAGTCTCTTGCCAAAATAAAAAGACTCTTGACAAACATCAGACCAAATGCAAGTATAACGGTACAGTGCTTCCCACAAACATCCACAAAATTATCATTTTATTGCTGTTATAGATCCACTACTTCTTCATTCAGAGGGAGGGAGGGAGCGAGGGAGACTAACCTTATAGCTTTCCATTGGGTAATAGCCATAGGTGCACCTAACCCACCTATCGACTCATCTATATGATGTTCAACTAACTTGCACTAGTAGACTCCTATTGTATTGGAAATAAGTAACTATCTTTTTATTGTTGTCAACGATTTCTTCCACGTTTGACTTTTCTACATTAAAACATTTTTTAAACCATCTCTGATGCTATTGAGGGGCCACAGAAGGCTACAAAAATAACAAAAAAGAAGCAACCACAATCCTCATCAAGTAATTTCTTTCATTTCAGATGCAAAAATTGAAAAATAACAACAAAAAAACAGTTAATTGGAATCAAGAAGCTGTTTTCACTCCAATTTTCTCACAAAAATTCAAAAACAACTCCAATTCCAATTTGTATTCATGGCCAAATACAACTCCAATTTTTCAAACATCATTATTCACTTTAAAAACACAAACTCAAATCAAGAAACACCATAAAGGAGCTAACTTTCAAAACTAACCTCTACATGAACATTTAGAAACCCTAGATTCCAATTAAAACTCAAATTAAGAAGATTTAAATGATTTCAAGCTCAAAAAACCAAAATATAAATGGAAAATTTGAGTTATTCATACCTTTTTTCGGTTTTCCGCCGGAGAATCGATGAGGGAAAATGGAAAATTGACGAGGAAGAGAAGAAGAAGGAGAGAGGAACCGGAGATCGAGGGGATACAAAAGCTACTGATAAAGTTAGTATTGGGCTTTGAGAGATCCAATTGAAATTAATTTTGGGCTGAGTAGTTAATGGGCTTCTCGTGAACAAGAAAAGTTGATGGGCTTTCTGTTACAGAGCCCAGTTTAAAGAAATTGTTGAATATCATGGTAAATACTTGAGTTCGATTCCAAGTTACAATAAAAAGTGATATTTGTAAAATTTAAGGAAACTTCCTCGATTTTAATCGATGAAGACCGTTGGTTTTCTTGAACTGATTCACCATTTTTCGATGTAGTCTAACCCGTTGGTTTTGGGTCAATTTTAGTATAAAAAAATAATTGAGATCCTTTGTTGGTGTTGACTCGCAATTTTTTACTAGATTTTAGTAAGAGATGGATAGGTAGCTAGAATTATTTGTTCTTTTCTAAAGTCTCGGATTTAAGCTTTGAATATGAAAAAATTCAAATAGGAAGTGCTTCCCCTTTTAATGAGTCTTACACGTTAAAAATTCAAATTAATAGGGTCATAACACAGTTATCGAATACTGAATTGAAAACAAAAAAAATCATTTTTTTCATGTAAAGGAACTATACATGGATTGCATTTATTTATTCAACAACAATGACAAAGATTTAAAGTACACCCAATTAAGTAGATCCTAACCCCTTAGCTAGAATCTAAAATAACCTAACCAAACTTACAAAAATTTTATATCACAAAACAAACCCTTTTAAGTTTTATTCAACAATGAAAAATTGAAGATGTCAAAAAAAAAAAAACTAGTTGTACAAAGCATTTATATATCTACAATAGACAACATTGACAATTATGAAACTAGCTTCATTTTGCCTTCATGACTATTCACTTGACTTGCTTCATAGTGTTGAACATTGAGAAGTTCATGTAGCTAGAACATTTGCCATTCAACATGAAACTTGGTTCTTTTGGAATAGTCAATGGCCTTGTTGATCTGAAGTAAAAAGAATGTGAACTTAGAAATTTTACTAAGGGGTGTCAATATATATATATTTATGAAAAAGTTGAGAGAATTCAAACATATATAGCATATAAATGTGTGTGTGTACGTGCCCTAAAAATTCCGAAAAAATAATATAATGTTAGGTTATGAATCGATATTCTCAAATTAAAGACCCGGAATCTTTGATTCATTAAGTTAAAATTTAAAAACTATGTCGCAGTACAAAGAGTAATTAAGATATTTAAAGTTAGATTATTTGTTCAATAATAACTTTTTTGATTAGTATCATCAAGGGCGAAGTCATTGGTACAGTTACAGATTCAAAAAACTTTATAGTCGTGTTAAAGAAATTCGTTAATATGTATAGATAATCTATTTTGAACCTAGTAAACCAAATCAATTTTGGTCCACTACAATCCATAAACTAAAAATTCTAGATCGACTCTTACTTGTCCTTTGGCTCAATTTATAGAGAACCAACTTATATAGTCCTTTAATTTGTTTAATTATCATACCTCTGTGGAAGGAATGGCTTATCAAAAAATGGCATCAATTGAGCTCTTGGTATCATTTCTTTTCTTAGCAAACGAACTTCTTCTTCTTGTATCATCTGTCCAAAGAAAATATTTGTTTGTTACACAATTTTTTTAATAAATAAATTGTAATATATATACTATAGTAAGAATGTGAATTTTATAAAATAATTAATGGAAAAAGACAAATATACCCCCAAACTAACGTAAATGGTATGCAGATACTCTCTGTCATATTTTTGGGACATTGGTACGCCATCTAAAAACTAGAGCATATATACCCTTTATACTAACAGACATACACGTGTCATAATCTTATCCACTGACCCAACATTTATTAAATATCGGATCAACGGATAAGATTGTGACACGTGTCCCTATTTAGTCTTCCATTAGAGTGAAGGGCATATGTGCCTAGTTTTTGGATGGTAGGGACACCAATGTCCCAAAAGTATGACGGAGGGTATCAACATACCATTTACGATAGTTCTGGGATATATTTGTTCTTTTTCCCAATAATTAATGATTTTGAAGAGAGATATATTTGTTCTTACCTTTTGTACTTTCTCTACTGTTTTCTTCTGTTGCTCTATGAAGTAAGATTTGGTTTCCATCTGTGAATTTAATTTCTTTTGTTAGAGTAGTATTCAAGGTTTTCATTTAATTTTTTTCTTGTAAGTGAAATTAGAGAAATGTATATAGGGATTTTCTTCAAAACAACTAAAATAATATTTAATTTAGTATAATTCTTAAATAATCACTTTAACTATTTAAGACCGTTTTAATCGTATATGAACAAAATACGTGGCATAAACTATCAAAAAGTATAGTCTTAGATCAAATGTCACACTTTTTGATCAAATTAAGATATGAAGTGTCCTTCTTGCTAAGGCAATGATTTTCAAGAGGCAAAAATACAGTTTACAAAAAAGTGTTGCTTTTTCATAGACCAAAACCTAGCTTGTACGTTTCCAATATACCTACGTCTTTCATATTATACAGAGCAGTAGTGAAGTCAGAATTTTTCCTAAGAAAGTTTAAAATCTAAAGAAATAGATACATAAATTAGTCAAAAGGGATTTAATATGTACTATATATAAAAAATATTTTAATTATATATAAATAGTATAATTTTCCACGAAAATAGCTCCACCCCTACTACATTGTACACACTTTCATGCACGTGTGATATTTTGAATAAAAAAATTATATACATTTTTTTTCATAAATCTCATAATAGTGACGAATCAATTTCCAAGAGACATATCGTTTATTACCTTATCTACAATTACATTTATTATATATTATAATATAAATTAAATAATAGTGAGTAGTAAAATGTTCTTCATGATTAACAACTTCTAATGACATGAATAAACACTAATTATAATTAATTAAAACACTTACTGAGTAATTGAATAAAGCACGTCTTCTTGCTCTTTGTTGAGTATGAAGTTTGATCTCCACTGGTTTTATATTATCCTTTGCTAATGACTTTTGTTGAGCCTAATATAAATAAGTTTAATTTTAATTAATTAGCTCTCAAATTAAATTTTGAAGGAAACTAATTAATTAATTCATTCATTCATCTTACACAATATTGTACCTTGTTTTTGTCAACTGATTTCTCCTTTGACTCATATCTCAACTGTAAAAAATATATATTTTAAAGTTATATATATTAATGTTGAAGCATCTTTAAAAAAAACTTGACTTTTTTTTTAGTTGTGTGAATTAATTAGAGTTTAAATCATGTTAATTACCACATTATTATTTTTCATCGATTGATATTGAGGAGAACTTGATCTCACTGTTCTTCCAGGAGATTGGATTGGAGATTGTGAACTGCTCCTCACAAGCTGAAGTTGAAACAATCAAAAAGAAAAAAAAAGTTTGAATTATAAATCAAATTGTAAATTAGTTTAATTAATATCCATCGAAAATACTGTAAAATTTTTTACACTATCGTCATTTAGCGGGTCACTTAAAAAATATTTGTATGTAACTCTCCATAATAAGTGTAGGAATTATAATCTTGATAATAAGACAACTTACTCGTTACAATATATACAAATGATATAATGGTGTAATTCTTTTTAAAAACTTTAGTGTAGGTAAGTTTGACTCATAAATAAGAGTATCACCAAGGTAACGGTGGAATAAACAAGATTACTCAATTCTTAATTTTAAAGGTCTTAGATTCGAACTCTGGATATAAAAAAATTATGGTACAAAGTGTTTCCCCTTTTATTGAAATCTTATGTACATATGCAATTCTGGATTAGTCGAAACCTTAAAACGGATACTAAAATTTGGATGGAAACAAAAAAAAAATCTCATTGTAAAGAATAAAATCCGTGATGTGAATTTGAATTAATTAAAATATCATTCGAATAGAAAACAAAAGAAAACCTCATACTAAAGAGTAAAACATGTGTGAAAAAACAGGTAAAATCATAATTCTCACCTTTTGAGAAGATTTGGTGTTTGGGCTCTCCATGTGGTTTAGCTAAAGGGGATATGATTAATTCTAACTAAACCCTATATTTATATATAATACAAACACACCATGTGATAAAAATAAAAATTTCAAAAAAATATTTAGAGATTTGCATTTGTCTTTGGATCAGAATCACTTGTTGTTGCTCAATCACAAGAATATTTCTTTTTTTCAGAAATTTGTGATTTCTCTTTTCTACCAAACTTTCTGATTAAATCTCCCTCTCATATCATAATTTAAACTTTTTAATTGCACATATATAGTTCATGCTTAATTGCTCATATGATGAATATTCACTTAATTAATTATGATTATTCATGCATACATATCTTATAGCTTAAGTTTAATGATAAGTTCCTTTAACATTAATAATAAATAATTAATAGATTACACTCTTCAAGTCTGGTCATGATGACAATATAATTCACTAAAGATGACTACAAAAAAGACCACCAAGCATCTTGATTGGATGGATATAACTCTTGTGTAAAAATCTTAATAGGAAGCACTTCTCGCTTTAGTGAGTCTTACGCAACTCATATTCGAATTTGTTTGGACACCATTCAGTGGCGGAGTTAGAAATTTTAATAAGGGAGTTTAAAATCTGAGAAGTAAACACACAAACTAGTGGAAGGGGGTTCGACATCTATTATACATACCTAAAAAATTAATTTTAACCATGTATAAATAGTAATATTTTTCGCCGAGGAATTTCGGATGAACCCCTCATTATATTTGCCTCCGCCCCTGACACCATTACTAACATCAGACATCATCGAGTGAGAAATCATTTTCTTAGACTCACATTATATGATAGATGTACTATATCTAATTATTTCATATTCGTCGTATTTTTTTTTCTTTTTGGTTGTCACTTGATCTTCGGTATTCTCTTGGTACTCGACTAATATGATATTCGCTGAGAAGTCCCACTATAGAAGCAAAGATCTCCCCAAAAGTCGAACTCCATTCTTAATACTCAAATCCAGAATTTCTAATTAAAGAATACTTAGGGGAGTATTTATCGCTCAATCACAACCTTTGTCCTTCTTGTTTCTCTTGCTAAAATTATTTTCCCGTACTCAAAAGCAAGAATCGTGTATTGCAAGAATTTATGGGTTTTTTTTTCTAAAAAAAAAGAGTCAAAATCTATGTTCTAATTAACCATACTAACTGTTTAACAAACTTGATGGTGTTATGCGTTTGTGGAATGGTAATTATGAAAAGGGATCAACGTAGGGATTAAGATTTTGTTTAGACTAATTGTAGTCAATTATTCAATTAGTAAAATAGCAACAACAACAATCCTAGTGTAATCCACAAGTGGGATATGGGATCGGAGGGTAAGACGTACCCAATGGCCAATCTAATTATCTCTATCCTTCTAGGGTTGAGAGAGTACTGTTTTTGATTGATCACCCTCGACAATTCTCCTCTTTCATTTGAATTTAAAACAGACAATATAAACGAGCTCACACAAAACAAAGTTCTATTTAATTAGTAAAACAGTTAAAGAAAATAAAGATGGAAGGTAGCCTTTCATTTCTTGGGCAGTTTGTTGGTATCTTATCAAAGGGGATAAATTAAATTGAACATGTCATATAGTTAGGTCATGAAATCGAAAATCAACCAAACTAACTTTTTAAATGCTTATGTTTCAAGTTTGTTACTACTTATTACAACTTTATTTATTGATAACATAGTGTTCATGATCACTTGGACAAAAGAGATTGTAGTAAAAATAAATTTTATATTAAAATAAGACTTGTTATGTGAGTGCAATAATATTGACTACTAAAAAAAGAATGAATTTTGGATCAAAATTTTTCGATGAAATTAGTTGAAAATTGATCAATCGGAAACATTTCTAATTAAGTATCTATCAGAAGTCTCTAAATCTGATGGCATTTTGATGAAACGCCTATCGTAAATTTATTTTTTTAGTCCGCACACTATAATAATAAATGAAAGAATAAGACATAAACAAATTAAACATATCGGAAAGAATAAGAAGGCACCATATTTTGAGACCATACTTTAAGGGCTATATATATGTCTCGATTTCTTTGTGCGAAGACCCTTCTAGAATTATGTTTAACACTCTTTATGACTCTTTTGAGCACCTCAGGTCCATAGCTAGGCTCTCATTTTGAGATCGTGGAAAAAAATCTTTTAGATTTCGATCGAATCGTTATAGATTTTTTGAAGTTAGATTAGAATTTCTTGCCCTCACATTATTTAACAACTATTCTTATTCCCTAATTTCCCTTTTAACGCCAAATTAAGCTCTTCTATTTTTATTTTCGACCTGCACCAAAAATATTTTTCCTCAACAAACACCTTTTAATAATTAAACTTAAGTTTACTTACTACTACATTACTTTCTACTATTAAGGTAAAAAAATATGTGTAAGTTAATCACGGTTAAGGGGTAAAAATTTAAGCATAATACATAAATATGACCCTTAACTTGATATCAGTTGACAACTATGACTTTTAACTTTGGATGTGCATAAGTGGACACTTAAACTTTTATAAAATTAAACAAATGGACACATTCGTCCTACATGAGAATTTGTGTCCTACGTGGCATCTCATGTGGCGTCCTACGTGTATTATGTCATGTAGGACACGTGGATCTACTTGTTTAATTTTATACAAGTTTAAGTGTCTATTTGTGCACGCTCAAAGTTTGAGGGCATAGTTGTACGCTGAAGACAAGTTAAGGGTCATGTTTATGACATAAAACATAAAAAAATCAACGGACAACTATGCCCTCCAACTTTGAGTGTGCACAAGTGCCTTATATAAAATTGAACAAGTAGACACACATGTCCTACATGACATGATACACGTAGAATGTCATGTAGGATACCATGTAGGACAAATGTATCCATTTGTTCAATTTTATACAAGTTTAAGTGCCTACTTGTGCACACCCAAAGTTAAATGTCATAGTTGCCAATTGTGTCAAGTTAAAGATCATGTTTATGTATTATGCCATAAAAAATTTATATAGAAGGCAAGTGTAATATTATTATTGATTTTCTTCTTGGATAATTTACACATGGATTGAAGTACATTTTTGTTGCATTTTTAAGAAAATGAGAGAGCAGGCCTGAAGTAGTTGTGAAATAGTTTAGGCTTAACAGGCTGATGGGTCAGCCTACAACAATGTTAGTGGCAAGATGCTGTGGCAGAGCTAGGTAGAATTATACTTGTGCTTTGACTTTCTGAAACAAATTTGGACCATTTCTCAATTTGTGTGTGTCATTCTTTGCACAAGGGTCATACTACTCTTCTCGATTTGTGTGCACATTTTTGCTACTCATTAATCAAAATAATTACAACTTGCAGTATACATAAACTGTCAGAACAACAGTACAAACACAAAAACTTTGTTTCTCTATTAGTAGAATTTAGCATCACACACACCAAGGGAATTTTCCCCTATCTTAAAAACATCAATAAAGTTTGTTAAAGTAAATACTAAAATCATACCATTGTTACAAGTCATACTCAATACATTCACATTGTACAACAATTGACAAAAAAGGGACAGTCTGGTGCACTAAGCTCTCGCTATGCACATGATCCAGGAAAAGACTACTACAAGTATCTATTGTACAACAATCAACTAACATTCCCAATACACTGACCTGACGAGCCCTTATCGTCCGTTTAGTGATATATATATTCCAAAATGCACACATTTTCGTAAGAGAGCCAAATATTGAAGCTACTCGCTATTCAAGTACTACTGCTCAAAGCCTCAGTGTGAGATCTGGTGTCGAATTGTCTTTTTCAACAGACGGAGTCCACTCTACAGAATTCACATTCGAACATCCAGTAAAACTAATAGTAGGATGATGAGAGATGTCAACATTAGTTACTTGACGAAAACTGCCAGGCCATAATAAGTGATCAGCCTCATCGATATCCTCAACGTATAAAGACGGACTCTGATGGTGTACATATTCAAATCTCGCGCTCGTCCTGAAATCAAGTGATCCCATTGCTTGTGGAAACCCCTGGTGCATTGAAGAATGTGCTTTGATTCCCAAGGACCGGGCAGTAGACCCGTGCAAAGGCAGAGCAGCCAAATTACCATACCTTTCCGAAAAGATTCCCATTCTCATAGCTCGTTTAGCTAACGTTCTCTCACGTTTATGAGCATTCTGGTGACCGCCAAGTGCCTGTGAACTATAGAATTTACGCTTGCAGAAATTGCAAGTGAAAACTCTTCTAACTACTGCTTCCCCTGAAGTTTGTGATGCTGCAAGTTCATTGCTGCTTTCATCACACGTGCTTGATACTGAAAATCCTATCGAATCTTGGCTGGCAAATTCATCGGTACCAGAATTAAACCCGAGAGACAAGTCAAGTGACACAGGCTCAGGACTAAACTGAGAAAACTCAATGTTAGAAGCAACCTGACTAGTTATATCAGAATCATTTCCAGATGATGCTTCCATCTTAATTCGCTTATAATCCGTTACAACGGAGGGACTAATATACAGAATTTGGTGATCAAAATAACAAGATCTAACAATACCAATGAACTACATCTGCATCACTAACGTTGTCCTGCACGTGATACGAAAATCAACATATTATTTTCTGAATAAAAAATCTGTACTTTTGCACATGTGTCAGTTCCTCCAAACATGCACTACTTTTGCAGGATCCGACAGAGCAATATGACATAGGAAAAAATCCGGCAGTCATACACAAACTTCAAATCTGTGTCTAAAAGTATCTGTTTTGAAGTCTCTGGCTACATAGCAATACAACATAGTGCTGAAAATCATTCTATTGTAAAAAATTGTAGAGTTAATGGTCAAAAACGCACCTAAAGTATCCTATTTTTTTGAGTCTCATACCCAAACTATCAGGTGTGCGAGTTTTTTTACATGAACTATCACCAACTATTTATCAAAACACACCTCAACTATCAGTTATTCTCCTGAAATATCACCATCGTTTGAGTAGGAAAAGAGAACAATTAATAGTTGAGGTGCGTTTGGGTAAGTAGTTGGTTTCAAATATTAAACTCAACAAACTCAAGATACTTCAGTGTGTTTTTGACCCTTAGCTTCACTCAAAATTCTTTGTACCCCTTGCCCTAAATTTATAACAATAACTTCAGTGACGACGATTAGACTCCAGATATACATGAAATACTATTTACACATAGTACACATACTAAATTGGATTCAAATGGGGTTATAGTTATGTAAAAGCACTCCATAGAGAAAGGATTTAAAATAAGAAATATAGAAGTATGATGTAGTTTATATACGAAAAATGAATATGAGAACTTTAGAAAATAAGAACAACTGTTCCTTTTGCAATAGTTTTCCAACTATTGATGAGACAAGACAAGCTATTGAGAGAGGGGAAGAAAAAGAGGGAAATTGTTCTACGTCTGTCGAGACATTTTCTTTTATGACCATCAAGTATTCGAAATTCAAAGCCATGAATAATCCAAATTCACATCACGTAGGTCCATTCAAGATCAAAACACTTTCTACTAGGTTTTTTACCCTTAATTTTCAAGGCTACAAGTAGAATGTAATGAAACTTCTGGTTAAGGGTGGAGGGATTCATTCGACTACACTCCTTGGTTGGAGGTGACTTCTATCCCACAATAATAACTACTACTATAGACAAATAATTAACCACATAAGACATGTTTATTGAGGAAGATTAATCCATTTTAGGTATCACAAATGTTACAAAAAGGATCTCATCACTTAAAACTAGATACACAATTTTGTAAACTTATGAAGTCTATATCTAAAAAAAAAAACACATTCTATAGCTTCAAATTTGCAACAAGACATGATAAATTCTAACACAAAATCTAGCCCCCCCCCCCCCCCCCCCCCCCCCCCCCC